TATAATAATATAATATATTAATTATATTATATAAACTATGTTAGAGAACTGTAGTAAGCAATGTTTCATCGATACTGTACGAAATTTTATTATAATATATTATTATATATATTATTATTATATTATATATATTATTATATTATTAATATATTATTATAATATTATTATAATATATTAATTATATTATATAAACTATGTTATAGAACTGTAGTAAGCAATGTTTCATCGATACTGTACGAAATTTTATTTTATTTAAATGAGTTAATCTATAATGTAGTAATGTTTGACAACAAATTTAACTTGTTGTAACATAATCCATGCTCTAGTTAAATATGTTGACATCTAGTGTGCTTACTATTAAATTATATTATAGATTAAAAACTAATTGTGAATATAATTAGAATACAGGTTACATTGTTGTCACTAAATGACAATGTTTATTAAACTTGAGAAAAACGACGTTTACTTGTGTCGTAATCTTCGTGCTTAAGTTGAGTTTCATTTAATTTGAAGAAATCAAGTAATTAGTAATAATTTAAGCAATTAAATTTTAATTCGAAGTGATTAAATAAATTATCATGAATTATACTAAATAATGTCGTCTTTTGATACAAAATTTTATTTTATTCAAGAGTTAATACAGATTTTAATCTTTTAATAATATAATTTAACAATAAGCACACTAGATGTCAACATATTTAACTAGAGCATGGATTATGTTATAACAAGTTAAATTATTAGACATTAGATGACAATGTTTGTTAATTTTGAAAAAATTATGTTGGAACCCTGATACTTGAGTTGAATTTCATTTAATTTGAAGAAATCAAGTAATTAGTAATAATTTAAGCAATTAAATTTAACTCGAAGTGATTAAATAAATGATCATGAATTATACGAAGCAATGTCGTTTTATTGATACTGTACAAAATTCTATTTTATTTAACTGAGTTAATCTATAATGTAGTTTAACAACACAGTCACACTGCGAATATATTTTACTAGAATATAGATTACATTACTGTCACTAAATAACTAAATGTTTATTAAATTTGAGAAGAACGTCACTTATGTTGAAACCTTGATACTTGAGTTGAGTTTATTTAATTTGAAGGAACAAGTAATTAATAATAATAATAATAATAATTTAAACAATTAAATTTAATTCGAAGAGATGAAACAAATGATTATAAAATCTAGACAGGATTTATTTGTAGAATACTGGAAATGCTAATTGTTAATAGAATGTTCGAAATGCTAATTGTTAATTCAAAATCTAACTAAATTAAATTCGAGAAATCGATCGATTTAGTAAAGAACGTGTACCTGGATATTTTTTGGGGGCAAAACGTGCGGAAGATCCTGCAAAATCAGTGTCTTAATTCCTTTCATCGTCAGCTGATTCCTTTTTCGAATTACGAAAAAGATCGAACGACACGATTTCGAGTGTCTCAAAATCGTAGTCACTTGAAATTTTGAAACTAATCCTAAATTTCATACGGAATCTGTCATTTTTGATACATCATGATTTAACAATGGGGAATCGGCTGATCCACGGTTACCAAAAACATTCGTGAATCGATTCTCTACATATCGGCACGAACTAGTTGAGATTAGAAGTGAAAATTTGAATATATCGATCACTGCAAAGCAAAATATATACAGCGATGTTTAAAAGACATATTTGCAATTTAACTCGTTAATCATAGATTATGATTTTTTATGAATTTTTTACGAAATGTGTATATATATTGAAATGATACTCATTACGATTTTGTTGATTTTTCATCGATGATTTTTCATTTCAATATAAATCAACAAATCCCTTTTTTAACGTAATAAAAAATTAATAAATAATAACAATAAATCAAGAAAACCTAAAAATAATTTTTGACGCTAATAAACACATCGATTCAACAAATACTCGAAATTAAGATACAATTTTATCTTCCGTTTCACTTTCCATCGACAGGAAATTTATGTTTGATCGATCGCAGGCTAAAAATCGAACCAAAGTTCATAAATATAGAAAATATACAAATACAACATACAAATGTGATTTTGTTGATTTTTCATTTCAATATACGATCCCCTCTTCAACCTAAC